ATTCCCCTTGGACCCCGTTTGAGACTAAGTGGTATAGAAAATGTATGAATGGATGGATGGATTCTACAATATCTGATTTTTTTGACAATCAATGCTCTTGCAGCTAAAAAGAAATTAGGAACAGTAACAAATTTATAAGGTACAGAATTTTATCAAAATATTTATTTTGTATGTTTTGCACAGACATGTATTAGATGTTACTGTACATATTGCTAAAGTTAATAAAATTTTCTGAACATGGAACAAAAAAGGGCAAAACATAACAAATGCAGAACTAATAAACTGGCAATACAATCAGTCTTGTTTAAGAAACAAAATCCAGAGATATTCTGATGAAGAATAAATACACAGTAGACTTGACTGACAAGTGCATGAGATACATTCCTTTATTTGCTTTTGTTTCACAGAAAATATAACCAGACCCAAAAGGAACTGATTAAAAGCAACCTAGTTAATTAAAAATGGAAAAAGCTCAACCAAGGCTATACCGCATGTTTCCAGAAACCTGCTGCTACACTGAAGGAATGACACATTCTCTTATTGCTCTCAGCAGAGAAGGTGACTCAGAATCTTATTATGCCAAGAGTTTTTAAATTTATCTCTCTCTCAGTGGCACCCAACAAACACGCCTTCAAAGTGGAACTTAACAGTAAAGTGCTTTTTCAAAAATGAAATTATTTACACTAATGGCTTCATGCACTTATAAGAATTAACATGATTAGAAACACTTTCAGAGAAATCAGAAATGGTTCAGATGGTCTGTGTGGGCTTGTGTAGGAGAGGTGTGTAAGGGTTAGAAAAAATATTGAGAGGTGTCAGATTGCGGTCATACAATTGCTTTTCTCTTGACAATGTGGTTTGGTCCAAGTTGTAAACACCCTTTGATGACCTGTATCAGCCTGGTCACAGTTTGCTCCCAACTTGACAGTAAGACATTTACAGTAAAACTTGTATATATTCAACAATTCACCAAAAACCGACGGGTCACTGTTGACCACAGAACATTTGAAAGACGCAAGTGTATGTTAATTAAGGATATATAAAATAAACACACCCTGACAGTACTCAGGTGTGAGCATTCAAAACAAATCCAGTGTAGCTGTGAACACATTCAGGACACACGTTCATAGAGATTTTTTGTTGGTTGTGGTCAGAGACTGATTGACCTGTAGGGTGGAGAGAAACATTCAGAGATCCACATTCAGTATCGGTACTATACAATAAATACAATCAGAGCTAGGACAGTGAAGACATTCTCCTTATGCAATTCAGTGGAACCTTCTGAAACGCAACTGAACTTTTCCTTTGTCTTTGTTCCCACCTCTTTCTCAAATTTCTCTCATTTATAGACATTCAACATTATTTGAGGCCTCTATTGTAGCAGGTAGACTCTTAACTTGAGGTGTGTGAGCATTTACATCATGACACTGCATGCAAGTGATTTTTTTTTTTACATCCCAACCCTGCTGAGGAAAGCACAGTTAACATTAAGAGCAAACATACTGTTAAAGGACTGCTGAATCGATGTTTCTACTAATCACTAGTTAAGTGGATGTACAGTAATGCATACTGGAACACTGTACAACCATAATAAAGCTAGTGTTGATCTTTGGTCTCCTAAAATCCACTTTAGGACTTTAGACATTTAACATCAAGATTAGATATTCACTCTAAAAGAAGTCCTCCATGAACTGAATAGAAGACATCACACAGTAATTAAGGGCTGTTTAGGTATGTTTTGTAGCTTGTGAGACAATGAGGACTGGGGAACTTAACATATAAAGGGATTGCTTAATTTTTAATAATGTTAGACAGCTAGAATAACTTAATTATTTCAATAGGGATACATGAATTTCTGTGCAGTTTTACTAATTTTCCTACTTAAACAGAGCCAGACAAATGTGCAGCTTGAAGGTGTGGGAACTGGGGTCAGCAGCCTTGCCTAGCTTGATTCCTGAATGTTAATTTTAGATTAAATACTGTATCAGCTGCTCCTATCAGAAGCATGGAAATAACTTTAAAATGAAACTTCACCCAAAATATTTTAGGCAAAGCCGCATATACTTGATAGTGGAATGAAAATAAAAATTGTAGATGCTCCTTTGCAAATATGGTTGCAGCTCTAATGCAGCTAATGACTGTTCATTATACCTGACATTGAATCTTCAGCAGTCATAAAGCACTTTCTCTAGTAATGTTAAAAATCATACTTACTGCAAAATTAACAATAAAGCTTCAGTCTAACCTTTGTCTTGCTTGTCAAAATACTGGAGCTAATCAAGCAAACAGGGTTATGTTAGAGCAAACTATTCCCACTACTTACAATCCCAAGACTGCCTGATTAAAAATTTGAATTTTTTGTCTGATATCTTTTAGCGTGGTATCATATATGTAGCCATCAAGTGCATATTTGAAACCCCCTTTGAGAGTTGTTATTTAAAAATGGGTTAGCTTGTAACACCAACAAAGACTGAGATGGGGTTTTCCACTAACTCACTGAGCTAACATTAGCTAGCTAAGGAAATCTGGTAATTGGTATTTCTGCAAAATTGATGGTCCATGTCAAGAAAAGAGAGGGTTAGAGCTTAATCAACAGTCTGTTGAGATTCTGTTATGAAACACTGGTAATACTGAATTTACAAAAAATAAAATAATAAAATAGTAAAGAGAAATATTTTGCTCTTTTTAGAGGAAATACTAGTTCTAAAACATGTATTCAAGCACAAAAACAAATGAAGTAAAGCTAGGCTGCCATCACTGTACCTTTAAACTACCCAAAGAGATAGAAAATGCATTCATGCATTTTTTGACTCTGATTAAGTAAGAAAAACTGTAAAATCCAATAAAAAAACACACACTGTTCTTTTAAGTCAAGCAGTTAGTGAACACCCACATACGGCAGATACAAAGAGGGTACAAAGAAAGATGGGGAGTCCTAACGGGTGGCTCTGAACCCTGTTTAGGGCTTCATATGAAGTTGTTCTGAAGGCAAGCAGGAATATCTGCATAACACAGCCATGGATTAGACACAAAGGGAACGCATGGGCCGAGAGGAGAGAGGAAGAGAGGTAATAGTGGTTCCCCAAATAATCCTTCTTTATACCTGCCCCCTCCTCCTCCTCATTGCAAGTCTAATCCACAGATTCCAATTCCACAAATTCCTTTGTGGGTTACTGGCATTACATCACTTTTTGGAAAGATGAGTTCACTTCCAGATGTGTGCTGTCATGTGCACTGAACTAGGAGTTGTTGAACCTCCCATTTGTTGATTGCTGTATCCCATCATGCCACTGGTGTTGTAGATATTCATGCCAGCCATGTGCTGAGTCATCTGAAAGCCACAAAACACACATTGCTTTGTTATTAATGAAATGTACTATTTTCAGTAATCATATGGTCCAAAACAAACATACCCACCTGGGCAATGTTCCACTGTAGCTGTTGGGCTTGCTGCACTCCATACACTTGCTGGTGGGGTAATGTGGCCAAACCTCCAGCCTGCTGCTGTCCTCTCATCCCACTCTGCTGCTGTCCCATAAGGCAGTTTTGCTGATGTACCATCACTCCACTTTGCTGCTGTCCCATCACGCCCTGGGTCATCCCTGTCATGTAGGGTGATGCCACAATGCCAGCAGGCTGAACCATGACACCTTGGGCCCCCAGTAAGCCATTCTGCTGTCCCATCATGCCATTCTGTTGAACTCCAATCATGCTGTTTTGTTGAACACCCATCATGGGGTTCTGATGCTGCCCCATCATGGCCATCTGTGATGTCATCATGGTACCTCCCATTTGACCTACCTGGGCTAAAGAATGGTAAGGGCCATACGGGTGCGTTGGGTATCCCATTTGGTTCATGTATAAGCCTGCTGAAAATAAACGCAGATAGAAAGTGGATGAGAGTAAACATTTTGTCTATTTACACTACCGGCAGATACAGACAATGATTAGCATTTACTGGAGTTTCTGTTTCTGGCCACATGACAGCTGGGCAGGTAGTGTACAGTGAATTTGTCATGTTCTTTTTTTGTTGCCTATTGCAGCTGGAAACAAGGTTAATGAAAGCAGTAAAACTGAATCAAACAATGAATTTCTGGGCCTGAAACCCCAAACACTGAGCTAAAACTGGCACAAAGACTCAGTGGAGTAGAGGGGAACTGCACAGCTCAGGGGTAGTTCAATACTAAAAGCAAACCATCTCAATTTATGCATATACATTTGGTCCCTTATGAGCAGAGAAAGTATTAATTAGTGCAGCTGTAAATGGAGACAACAACATCTGGGAGTAGTTCTCACTGTGAGTAGCCATGCTGCTAGCATGCACTGAGGGGGTGGAAGAATACAAAGAAAGGATTGAATCCTTGGACAATTTCTTGACTGTGCCCTCCTCTGCTTTGGGCACAGGATCTAGAAAAAGACTGAGGTTTTCAGGTACTGATGCAGTCACCCTGCTCTGAGGCATGGAGCTGGAAACAGCCTAGAGGGAAAGAACAGAGAGAAACAAGACAGAGAAAACAGTGGCATGATGTAGCAAAGCACATACCCACAGTGTACAAATGGTGTATAGTGTGTTATGTCCTACTGTAGTTTTAGTGGAGGAAGCAGAGGAGGGTATTGGCAGAGTGCTGAAGAGATCCAGGGCAGAATGTACCAGAGGTGGATTAGACACAGCTGGACTTTCACTACTGTCAAGAACACATCCTCCAGCATTAGACAGAGCAGGACTTGGAGCAGGGCCATCTGACAGAGAGTAGAGGGAAGCATGGTTGTGATAACTGCTTCAGCTATAATATGTAACATCACTTTATCTAATCAGACCACAATTTCTCAGCCTTAATCTGGATAACCTTTGTGACACTCATGAAGCTCACTGTGTAATGTAATATAAACTGAATTATATTCTGTAGGTATGCTAATCAACAGGCTGCTGCCTGTACCAGTAATAAGCCATTATACAGTTCTTAACATTATACTAGAAACAAGTGTTAGTGTTAGTGTGTGCATGTGTATTAGGTAGAATACCTAGTCCAAGCAGGTCTGTAACAGCCTGGGTATCTGTCTTCGGGCTGATGTCTTTTTTCTGTCACAACAGAGAAAATCAATATGAGTAATATGTCCTACTGTATATTGACAAATGAGTCTGAGTCCAGAAACGTTTTTCTTCCAGGCTCCCTGAAATTATCTATGGTCTATCTAATGGTGAAATTATCTTCCTACTCAAGTCAGAATAGCAATGTTACTTCCAAAATTTCCTCTGCTAGCTCAAAATACTCTTTCTCTTTTCTTTAAAGACCATCTGCAAAATGTTACAAATCTACAGGATGAGCTTTGTTCTACTCAATTATTGCTGTGATGCAACCATTGTGAACTTGCTATAAGGTTACTTACCAATTTCATCTTCTCAAACACAACTGGCTCCTTGGGTATATTGTCACAACTCTTTTCTTTCTGCACACAGAAAACAAAAGTTTTTTTTCTGCTGATTCTGGAATTGGCTTAAACTTTTTGAATCTGTGTGTGTATGTGTGTGTGCACTGATTCACCCTGAGCATCTGGATGTCGATGACCTTATCCATGTACTTCTTCTTTTCATACTTGTCCCTGATGAAGATCTCTGCAGCCTGGTCTGTCTCGGGCCGCTGGAAGCACTCAGGTAAGAAAGCCTCGTAGAGACGTTTGGCCTTGGCATTTCCCATCACTTGAACACACTTGGGACACCAAAACATTTTTAAGGAGTTTAATGAGGGAAAATACCATACAATATCCAAGGTACTGTTCCTATAATGTTTCCAGACATATAAAAAAAGTGCAGTCTTGCTAGAAAGGGAAAAGAAAAGCGCTGACTATAGAAATTTCACCACACTGGGAAGCATAATGCTGACTTTTGTGACTAGCAAACCCAGACCAGGGTTGCTGCATATGAATGGGAAAATGTTTTCTTTCTTTACTGTATGTTTTTTGTTTCTTTTCCTACTCAGTCACTTCCAGTTTCTGACACAATGTTTTCCCCTGTTTCCAATCTTTATGCTAAGCTAATTAGCTGCTGACTGATTATTAAAGGAATAAATATAAGAATGGTATATCTTCTCCTCTAACACTCAGAAACAGGGCTGGCCCATGACATGGGCAACATAAGCAGTTGCCTAGTGTGCCAAATGCCTGGAGGGGTGCCACACAAGACCTTTTTAATTTTTAAACTTTTTGTTTTTATTAATAGTACAGGTGCCTGCTGATTACAGAACATAGCCTTTATAAGTATAAATAATAAACACTATACCCCATGTATGTTACTTTTAGTTATATAAATTTACTTTTTAACATTTTTCTTTGTTAATGTTGTGTGAATATCTAGTTTGCATTACACTGCAGTTCAGTTTGAAAAGCAGGTGTTGGCAGTGACCTAAACTTTGTGTGTGTGTGCACGCTTAGGATGGCCCTGCTCAGGAAGTAAGTACATAGTTGTATTTCAACATGTCAAACTACACCATTAATACCTCCACACGCAAAAAGTACCTCCATTTACTGGATATCAGCATCAATGCTGTAGTTGCTGTTGTCAGATGACACTTTCTGGAAATGATCCATGACACTGATGATTGTAAAGTTTTGCAGCATATATAGTTGTCAGGTTTAGGTTGACTGTTATCAAATTTTACAGTACAGAGCTATTATATGTGAACCCAATCATCATTTATCCCTTTAATGCTTTGTGAAAAATATAATGATGGATGACATATGAACAATGCAGCAAATGTCCTCCTCTTGATATTTGTATCTGTAGAGTGACCTCTGACCTGGACCTGCTCCTGCGTCCACTGATCCAGGTTAACTGACTTGACCTTGGAGATGTGGACCCCCAGGTTTCGATGAATCCCAGCACAGCGGATACAGATGAAAATGCCCAAATTCCAGGAAGCCCATCTTGGACCTAGTAAATGAAAAAGGGACAGGGGAAGAAGAGTTTATATTTAGAGTAGAGGGCTTTTAGAGGATGCAGATAAAATAACTGGGCAATAAAACTAAAACTGAGAAAAACACATGGAACCTGAATCCAGAGGTGTAAGAGCAATAGAGTAAGTGAAAAAGAGAACTAGGTGAGGAGGCTGAAGAATAATGAGAAAAACTCTGATTAATTTAAGTCCAATTATAGAGAGACAACCCTAAAACCTCAATTACGGTTGTGAATTCAGCTGGGAATACATCTAATCCCATGTAAGACATGCAGTGTCCTGACACATAATGGAATCCAATAGGAGAGTTAGCCTACATAACTGAGACTGAGATGAGAGAGGGGGAGTAGAAAATCACTTAAATACAAACACACATACAAGCAATCACACACACTCAGAGCCTGGATACCTGCAGGGATGATTACTCATTTGGCCATGAACCTGTGTGTGGGTGCAATGTTATCTGAGTGGGAAATATCTGTCTGTATTACTGTCATATGTATCTTAAGGGATGATTTTAAGTGCTGTATAATGTAGGCTCCATCTCTTCCTTCTGTCTGGCCATAGGATCTTTGCTTGAACAGGCAACTTTGGGAATGGGGGGAAAAAACAACACTGTCAGGCTATTTTCCCCCCTTAAATTATGCAACATGTTCTTGAGAGAGTACTGACAGCTTCTGGTACTACTCTCCCCATCTTTTCCTACATCCCTCTATCCTCTCTCCTCCTCTCTTTCCTTTGTCTCTTCTTGCTCCCCCTCCTTCACTCACTCTAATTGGACACACCACTTTCTGCCTACTCATTTCCATTATGAGTTCTTGCTTGCAATCTTGCTATAAGTTGATGCACCATGTCCTTTGCACCACTAGGTGGAAGAGCAGCTTTTGGGTTGGATTTTTTTCTCTTGTCACCTGAAGTCATATTTAAGAAAGTCCATTCTATGCAAATGAAAGAGGAAGCTGAATACCAGAAGAGAAAACACATAAAACCTTCCTCTTTGTGGCAGCTGCGGAAACAGTGTGTAGGGGTGCAGACTTAAATAATAACTACTGTCTAGGCTACATCCTGAGTTATGCATGCTAAAAGAAATTGTTGTGTGTTCAATTTGTGGGCTTCTTTTTCAAAATGAAAAAGGGACAAACGCAAATAGGTAAAAATGCAAAAGAGAGCAAATTTGTAAAAAAACACAAAAAAAACAGGGTTTTATGACACACAGCGTGTATCCATCTTCCTGACCGTCTGGCTGCAGCATTAGCTGTCATGCCAGTTAATAATAGTAGAATTACCCTGGCAAGCCTGCTTAACTACTGTAACCCTGGCACTGACACAGAGAAAAAGAGAGGTTGTCAGTCATGCGGAACTCCCAAATCACTGAAATTAGTTTGCATTCATCTTTATTCAGATGTCCTTGCAGCCATTTCTTATCTCTCTCATTCACCACTGCTGCCTCCCATCTGTTCTCCTCTCTCCATCCATATCTCTCATTCACAGCTTAGGTTCTCCCTTTCTGTTACATTAGCCACCCTTACTTTCTGGGGCTTTGGACAGTTGCTGTTCTCCTTTTTTGCATATTGTGCTGATTTTATATCTCTTTTTAGCCAAACTAGTGATGTGGTTCTAGGGATGTCAATGTTTGTCTGTTGACTGGTTGACAGACAGTTTCAACTGCTGGGTGGATTGCCAAGAGGTTTTGTACAGATATTCACAGCTCCCAGAGCATAAATTTAGTTGACATTGGTGATCACTGACTTTTCATCTTGCACCACCATTAGGATCAAATTTGCAATTCTGACTGAAATGTCAACATTTATTGGATGGACTGCCATAAAATTTGATACAGACATGTGTGTGCCCCTCGAGATAAATTGTATAATCTTTGGTGGTCCCTTATTTTTTCATCAATATTTGATACACCCAATACTTACAGTATACTACTTTCTCATTGAGAGAAACTGGTCACAAATTACATATCACTAGAATACAGCAATTTATCTGTGTGAGTGACATAAAGAAATTAATAAACACCTTTATATCCAGCAGACCAGACTATTATAAGGCTCTCCTCTCTGGTCTACCCAAAATAAGTTATACATTAGTTATAATCATCACAACACAACTGCCTGGGTGCTGAAGAAGAAGAAGAGAACATATAAATAAAGTTTGATTTTATTTGATTTATCTGCAAACACATAGTATTGCCATTAGCCTTAACTAAGCTTTGTTTAGTGATAATTAGCAAATGTTAGTATGCTAACACGCTAAAGTAAGATGGTGAACATGGTAAAGATTATACTTAACACCAGCATGTAAACATTGTTGTTAGTATGCTGATGTTAGCATTTAGCTAAAAGAAGTGCTGTGTCAGAGTACAGCCTCACAGAGCTGCTAGCATGGCTGTAGACTCATTCTTGTTTACATGCACCAATACCTATCTTTCTCTCTTCAAAACATATATGTTCTTGTGTTCAGTGGTTTATGCACAAGTGTCCTGTAGGTCTAATCTGTATTATCAGTGTTTGAAATTCCAGTGACCAGCTGTGCACAGGAGGTGTAGACAGGAGTGTGATGGCCAAGTAAGCCAATGAAGAAGGAGGACAGAGTTAAAAGGTAGACATTTAAAGTGAGTCACACTTGCACATTGCACCACTGAAACCTCTTTGGTTCCAATGAATGCAGTGCTTGAGTAGGAACCCATAACAATATGTCTGTCCAGCAATAATGCACGCCTCCAGTTACTTTGAACAGATATAATAGGTTGAGAGTAGGAGGAATAGACATCTAAAAATGGAAGGAACAAACAGTCACTCTGTGTTACAAGGTTTGCATTGCACTTTCTGTTGAGTAAGAGCGGTGAGTAAGTTTCTTTTTTTTTTGTAATAAAGAAAAAATGCAAACACCTTTGTTTGAGGTATAATTAATGCTCCAGATTTGACAAATGAATCTGTCCTCTGTTTTTATAGGAAAAATACTAACCAAAAGTAGAGGATTTGCAGAGGCGATTGATGAATCATCCTGGCAAAAAAAAAAAAAAAAGACTGGTTGTGGTTGTCAAACATGCAGTTTGAAGCACATCAGGGGAGGGGAAGGGAGCTGGGATGAGAGCCAATAACTGAGACAAATGAGAGAGGATTTTATAATCATCAAGTGGTGGACTTTAGCTGCCTGGTGACCTGTTGGGATGCACAGGGGGCATGAGAAGCATGAAGTGCAAATCTATAATGAACGTTTCTGTCACCCACCCACATACACATTTATTTGTACTGTACTACAGAGATTGTGAGAAGCTTTACTGTCTACATGACTTCTCTATCCTCATATTATCAGTCCTTGGTCTTTTGTGAAAGAAGAAAGGAAGTCATGGGGGTGCAAAATAAGGAGAAACCACACTAAATGGGTGAAATTATGGATATTACAGCAACAGGCTCAAGCAGCTTTATGGAACCTTTCTCTTCTCGTGTATTGATTCACTAAGCTGAACAGCCAATCAGATCTCTCTCACAATTGGATCTGCTACCGATTCAACATGGTGAATCTCCGCAAAAGACACAAGCAGGATCGGACTAGTGCTAGTGACACACCACAAAGACAAGGGTGACAGACACTGTCAGCTTCTTTGATTACTTTGACCATTCAGTCTGTTCATGGCTTGAAGGTCTACAAAAAAGGAAATCCTAACAGGTTCAACAGTTCAACTCTCTGTGGAAAATAATATTTATTACAATAGAGCCCTTGAGTGTTTCAAAGACCATCTTTGTGGGGTTGGGGGAAACCTGTCCCCAACAGATTAGTGCTAGTGCTGCACACCACACTTGCCAGGGTTCAACACCAACATGGGTGCTTGTTAGTTTGGGCTCTGTTGTGCCTGCAAATTGGAATTACTGTAGTTGCTTTTGCGTATTAAAATAATTACACCACCATTTTAAGAGAAGATCAAATTATGGCTTAAAGGAAACTTGGAATTGTTACCATCCTGGTTATAATTTGTATGAATTTTGTTTAATGTTTGACTTGAAGTGATTTATTGATGATGACACGGGTTAATGTGTTATTATTATTATTGTATTCCTGACATTATAATGTGGCTTCATCAACTGGATGAGTGTCTCATAATCTCAAACAAACTAAATTAAACAGAATTACATCCTAACATACACATCGCCCCTTCCCAGTGTGCTTTTCTGGTACACACCTAAGGTTACTCACATAAGTGCATATGTCACACACAAACATTTGTTCATGTACACACCTACTGATTTCCAGGCACATGTGCATGAGCAGGTGCATGTACCTCATTAGCCTATATCCCACAAGGATAAATTGTGCTCTCATCATGCACTCAGCTAATCCCACAGGGCCTCAATCATCAGTGGATCCTATGCCCTTCTAGCCACCATAAAAACACACAATCATGTGTAGACATTTTAGCCATCCTCCAGCCCCTAGACCAGTCCAGAAACCCCGAGGCTACCTAATGACCCCAGTCTGAGTTAAACAGATGGAGCCCTATTGATAATTTACTAATACACACCCACCATCTGTGTTACAATGTGAGAGTCACAACTGTGGATTATACATCAAAAGAAGAGGAAGACACTGCATTGTAAGCTTTAGATTTTTATCGAAACACACTTTTAGACTTGCGTCTATGCTTTGCCAGATCCTACTACTGATGCTATTGCTTGTACTCTCTTAGTTCATATGATTATTACCTTCACTGAGGAGATTATGTTTTTACTGGCATTTGTTGGTTTGTTCACAGCATATTTCAAAAAGTAATGAATAGAGCTGGATGATTTTTTTTGGAGAGGGAGGGTATGGTCCAGGAACAATCCATTAGATTCTCCATTAGAAACTCTGACAAAACTGAAGTTATTGTGCTTGGGCCTGAAAACCTTAGAAATCTGCTGTCTAATCATATAGTTACTTTAGATGACATAGCTCTTGCCTCCAGTACTACTGTGAGGAACCTTGGAGTCAT